TTCGGGCCTAGACCCTTCATCAGAAAATTTTCTGATGAAGGGTCTAGGCCCGAAACGTCAGCCTTCCTGCTCCTATGATGCTGCTTGGCCTGCTGTGTTCATCCAGCTCTACACCTTGTTATCTCAGATTCTCCAGCATCTGCAGTTCCTACTATCTCTTATGTTTACCAGAATAGTTTACAAATTAGGGCCAAATTAGCCATTGGGTTAGGCTGCAGATGTTGGATCTATTCCCTTAAGAGCAAGGAGGTTGAGAGAAGAGATTATATTTTACAGAACTGTGACAGTTTTAGATAAGGAAAGAATAAAAACATTAATCCCTTTTTCAGATGGTGCGAGGGCTATAGGACGTAGATTTAATGTTTTGGGCAGCAGCTACAGAGACGAGGAAGAATTTCTATAAGCAACAAGTTGTAATGGCCTGAAAAGCATTGTCAACTAGGATGGGGGTGCAGAGCTGATCAATGATTTCAAAAGTAAATTCCAAAGATGAGGTAAATAAACTTGCAGGTTTGTGGGTCTTAAAAGGAGGGAAAAGGACTTACTAGATAGTTCTATGAGCAGCCAGCATGGCTTTGATGGACTGAGTATTTCTTTTCTGTACCTTTGACCCATATCTGTGCTAACAATGCCAGTGATAGGATCTTGTGCACAGAGCTTACCCCATCAATGAACACAGCAGAAGATAATGGGAAATGCCTGGAGATAGAGGCAAATGGAGAAGTGTAAAGACTGGATAGACCATTACTACATGATAACAGGAAGTATATCAACCACATGTGAGTGCGTGGAACGCGTTGCCAGAGGAGGTGTTAGATGCAGACGCAGCAGCAGTAATTAAGAAGCACCTGGGCAAATATATGAATAGGAAGGGAATAGAGGGATATGGATCCTGTAAGTAAAGAGGGTTTTAGTATGGAAGGAGAAAATGTGTTGGCATAGGTTTGGATGGCTGAAGGGCCTGTACCTGTGCATTGTTATTATTATTTATTCTTTGTTCACAAATGCAAGGACAAGAGATGGAAGGGTTTGATTCTTACAGTCTGTTTGGCCACAAGTGCCTGTAACTCTATCGACCAGAAGTGATATTTGTCAGGTTTTATCTGTTTTCAGCTGTGCTAAAACTTCTGATCCAACAATATATTTATGCTGGTCTCCAGTCCAAAGATATTTCCTGTGTAAATGTGCAAAAATGATTCTATTTCAAAAGGTGTTTGCAATGCTGCAGTACAGTCTTTTGCAAAAGTTTCTTTTTCAGCCGATATTGCTTCTTTTTTTTTTGCATTATCTAAAACTGGATTTGTACTGTGTTATTTTTATTTTCCAGGTCAAAGAATAATGGCTTCTATTACTAACTAACCAGCAGCTCTGACTGCTGTGATAACATACGTGCAGACATTATGAATTAAATAATAAAAACCGAAAGAACTGCAGATGCTGTAAATTAGGAACAAAAACAGAAGTTGCTGGAAAAGCTCAGCAGGTCTGGCAGCATCTATGAGGGAAAAATCAGAGATAACATTTCAGATCTAGTGACCCTTCTCAGAACTGATGGTAGCTGGGAAAATGTCGGTTTATATGAAATAACCTTTTTTGTTAAACTTATGATATCAGTGTAAAAATAAACAGCAGTGTTGTTGACTTACATCAGAAATATGCAACGCAAATACAAGTCAGAATCATGTCAGATACTTTCTGAAGCTTGGCCTTTTTATTTTCTGTGTTGTCAGTTGATAAGTTTTGCAAAAATCAGTGGTGAATAAATCAGTTTAAACCATTTTGTCCAACATTGGAGATGAGCTGCATGAAATGGCATTGATCATGTGCACATGACCCAAAGTGAACCACAGCAGTAAAGTAAATAGCTACAGATACAGATTTCATTGCAAAACATAAAATTGCATTTTTGCATTAATGCAAGGGACAATAGAAGTTATGTGTAAACATGCTACTGTCTAAATATAAGTAAACATTAATCAGATTTCATAATTATGTTCATTAATCAGAGCAGGAAGATGGTGGAAGAAATATTCCTTCTACAGTGTATGTGTTCTCTATTGATTCAAATTGTGACCATTATGTTGAGTGATTCTTGTGTTTGTATTTAACACATTCCAAGAATAAAATTTTAATGTACATCTGCTCTTGTAAACAAAATATTGATATTGTGATTTGACCCTTTGGACAATGGTAT